TTCAGAAAATGAAACTTCCTTTTTTTGTCTTTGATAACCAATAAACACTGCAGCTTAGAAGCAAATAGTGCATCTCGGTTTTCTTCTGCCCCTGTTCAAACGAATTTCGGCAAGTAATCTTGTGAATGAGAAATTTCGATACCTCGTTTCCTTCCAATTCGTTTTTTCCTCGGTTTCGGAAATTAATCTTAGCGAGACGTTCGGTGCATGTGAAATGCAATTCTAACAGCAGAATCGGCTCCCTGAGAAAAAGTCGTTGAGGAAATTGAAGGAATCAAAGAAAATTTAGGCGATTCAATTTCAGTGTTGGCTCGACGCTGATAAGCCCATACTTCGGCAGATCAGTTCCCATGCAAGCGACGCTAAATTTTATTTTATCGTCAAATTCTATACCCCGAATCCCATCGACCTAGAAGAGGAGTATACAAGGTAAATTTTGCTTCTTTTAAAATAAATCTTATATTATGTAAATACATTTTAAGACCCACGAAATTGTTTTAGCACCCCCTTTTGATAGATTATAGTTTACTTATCTCTTTTCATACCTTTGTCGAAAACCTGGTAATCCCAAATTTTTCGTTTTCATTTGCTAAATCGCTTGATAAAATTTATATGAAGCGTAGAATAGAGTAGAAAGGAAAAATAGGAACATATACGATGTTAATATGTGAATCGAAAACAAAATTTTTTCCAGGTATCTTCTCACACTTCAAATTCGAAGGGATCTGTCTGTAGGAGAGCTGCACTGCGCCGAAACTACGGCAGCACTTCTTGCGGCGTATTTAGTCCAGGTACTATATATTAATTTGTTTTGTTTGTTTGTTTATATATTAATTTGTTTTGAAAAAATACATAATTTATCATATTTTCAGTCCGAATGCGGAGATTTCTCAGCTGAAGACTATCCTGATGCCACTTACCTCTCTCACTCTCGATTTATACCCCATCAAACTATTGAGTTCCAACAGAAAGTGATGGAAAATCACAGAAACTTGATGTGAGTGCTTATTCGAATTTCGCGGTTGACGTGGTCACATTTTTTCTAGCAATACTGTAGTCTTAAGAGAATGTGCTCGAAAAGCTTCACTAGACGCAAAATCTCTTCATGGCTCCATTAAGAATTCAGCTTGCAGCTATTCGGGCATGAAACTTCTTTGTGATTGCCCTTTTCTTCATTTTTTGCAAGACCTATGCCTTTTGCGAGGAAAAAGTTATACCTTAATGCGTAAAAGGGAATGGCTAAGTACTACTTGAATTCTTTTGGTCATTAGGATTTGCAGATTTGACTATATATCTGCCGATCGCTACCTATAGCTCAAGATTTACTTCGTACCCATTTCTGTGCAAAATTTTCAAAGCACGTCAATCTATCCATGTTATCCGATATTTTGCGCCACGACATGTTTCATATTATATCCATACATCTTGCATCCGGGCCAAGACCAAAAAATCCATGACATCTCATTCGTCATAGTAGCAGTTGTTCATGTATCGATTTCGGCGCACATTACGTCAGAAGAATGATGTTAAATGAGATTCGAGCAAGTACTTTGCTAAGAGCCGTTTTTGAAAGTAGTAAATGTAAATTAAGCAGAAGCTCCAAAAATTGTCCTGAGGAAAACGTAATCACTTAAAGAAAAGTTAGTGCAAAAATCTGATGGAGTTGTAAAAATAATATTGTGACAAAAAATTGCTCTACCATAACTTATCCATAAATAGATATACCTTAATTCTGATTGATTCCCTCCAATTACAACTAAGTATGTAAAAAATTCAATCTGTTGAATTCTGTGCATGCAACGGTTTCTTTTCGATCATTCCTTTTTGGAATTCGATAAAAACCCTTTGAATAAAATTTTTCAGTGGTATGAGCCCCGGTGAAAGTGATTTTGCAATGCTTGAAGTTGCGAGGCGATGTGATTTCTATGGAATCAAGCTGCACCCTGCTAAGGTAAGTTAAAATTTTTTACCATATGTATATTCGGGCCAAAATCTGCTCAAATTGAAAGAAAAAATGTTAGTACCTCTTGAGTGTTTTTTGCTACAGCTATTTTCGCATCCAAGACGTGTAAGATCAAGTAATAGCTATCTCTTTCTCCCTCTGTTATGCTCAATGTAGTCGCATTGATTTCAACTTCTCTTTGGATTTATTATTTTATTTGTCCGGGTTCTCAATTCCCTTGAGCCTACAAGCATACATCATCATCATGCTTATGTGTTGATTCATAAGCTGTGCACTTGCGCAAACAGCATAAGGACATTTTTTATTGCTTCCCATAGGCTGATCTTTCCTTGAAAACATGTCAAATTACTCATATCTCCAAGTTTTCACCATTTTTGACCTTTGTACTTTCTCTATATCACCCAAAGCGCTACAAATTTTTTCATGTTTTTAT